CACCTGTGCAGGTGTACACCTGTGCTGGTGTACACCTGTGCTGGTGTACACCTGTGCCATGGTCCAGGTAACAAGTGACTGACCAACAACCACCATTTCCGGTTGAAGTGCTGCCACGAATTTCCGGTATGAATAAATTACCTTAAAAAAATAAACACAGATTTAAAAAGTTCAACCCCCGCTGTGTCCGTGTGTGCGTGCGCGCGCGTGTATTCACCTAATTTATACTCACCTATTTGTTCTTATGGGATCGAGCATTGACTCTTGGATCCCGCCTTTCCAGCCATCGGTTGTTTACAGCAATGACTCCTGTCCCATTTCCCTATCATACCTGGTTTTATAATTATGAATAGTATTTGCTTCCACAACCTGTTCCCCAAGTGCATTCCATTTTCCCACTACTCTCACGCTAAAAGAAAACTTCCTAACATCTCTGTGACTCATCTGAGTTTCAAGCCTCCACCCATGTCCCCTCGTTCTGTTACTATTCCGTGTGAACATTTCGTCTATGTCCACTCTGTCAATCCCTTCCTTAGTATTGTGTGTGTGTGTGTACTCACCTAGTTGTACTCACCTAGTTGTACTCACCTAGTTGTGCTTGCGGGGGTTGAGCTCTGGCTCTTTGGTCCCGCCTCTCAACCGTCAATCAACAGGTGTACAGGTTCCTGAGCCTATTGGGCTCTATCATATCTACACTTGAAACTGTGTATGGAGTCAGCCTCCACCACATTGCTTCCTAATGCATTCCATTTGTCAACCACTCTGACACTAAAAAAGTTCTTCCTAATATCTCTGTGGCTCATTTGGGCACTCAGTTTCCACCTGTGTCCCCTAGTGCGTGTGCCCCTTGTGTTAAATAGCCTATATTTATCAACCCTGTCGATTCCCTTGAGAATCTTGAATGTGGTGATCATGTCCCCCCTAACTCTTCTGTCTTCCAACGAAGTGAGGTTCAATTCCCGTAGTCTCTCCTCGTAGCTCATACCTCTCTGCTCGGGTACTAGTCTGGTGGCAAACCTTTGAACCTTTTCCAGTTTACTCTTATGCTTGACTAGATATGGACTCCATGCTGGAGCCGCATACTCCAGGATTAGTCTGACATATGTGGTATATAATGTTCTGAAAGATTCCTTACACAAGTTTCTAAAGGCCGTTCTTATGTTAGCCAACCTGGCATATGCTGCTGATGTTATCCTCTTGATATGAGCTTCAGGGGACAGGTCTGGCGTGATATCAACCCCCAGGTCTTTCACTGTGTGTGTGTATGTGTGTGTGTGTGTGTGTGTGTGTGTGTGTGTGTGTGTGTGTGTGTGTGTGTGTGTGTGTGTGTGTGTGTGTAATTACCTAAGAGTAATGACCTAAGTCTAGTTACAGAATGAGAGCTATGCTCGTGGTGTCCCGTCTTCCCAGTACTCCTTGTCGTATAACGCTGTGAGACTACTAACGGTTTTGGCCTCCACCTTAGCTTGTTCCAACCATCTTCCACTCTGTTTACAAAAGAAACTTTCTAATATTTTTTTCTAATAATATTAATGTGTACTCACCTAGTTGTACTCATTAGTTGTGCTTGCGGGGATTGAGCTTGGATCTTTGGTCCCGCCTCTCAATTGTCAATCAACTGGTGTTCAGTCTGGAGCTTATTGGGCTTTATTAAATTTACATTTAAACTGTGTATGGAGTCTGCCTCCACCACATCACTCCCTAATGCGAGTGTCAGCGCATTTGTTAACTTCGCTGACACTATTTTTTTGTGTAATGTCTCTGTGGCTCATTTGGGTACTAAGTTTCCACCTGTGTTCCCTAGTTCGTGTTCCACCTGTGCTAAATAGTTTATCCATCCTGTCAATTCCCCTGGGAATTTTATAGATGCTGATCATGTCTCCCCCTTCTCTGTCTTCCAGGGACGTGCGGTTTAGCTCCCGTAGCCTTTCCTCGTAGCTCATACCTCTCAATTCTGTGTCTAGTCTAGTGGCATACCTCTGAATCTTGTCTAACTTTGCCTTGCCTCTAATATGTTTCTATAGCACATTTGGCCACTCAATTTCCACCTGTGTCCCCTCAACCCTTTATCACACTTGCTTATAGTCAATATCTTGCTTATGAATAGTGCATATGTGACTAATATATACCAATTTATTGTGAATATTTGAGTTTACCTTGAAAAGCTGAATAGAAAACCACAACCTAACCTAACCTGCTGGGTAACACGGTTATCTTGAGGTTATCTTGAGATGATTTCGGGGCTTTAGTGTCCCCGCGGCCTGGTCCTCGACCAGGCCTCCATCCCCGGGAAGCAGCCCGTGACAGCTGACTAACTCCCAGGTACCTATTTACTGCTAGGTAACAGGGGGCATCAGGGTGAAAGAAACATTTTGCCCATTTGTCTCCGCCTCCACCGGGGATCGAACCCGGAACCTCAGGACTACGAATCCGAAGCGCTGTCCACCCAGCTGTCAGACGCCTTGAAACGACGGATGAAAGAAACTCTGCCCAATGTTTCTCGCCGGCGCCCGGGATCGAACCCGGGACCACAGGATCACAAGTCCAGCGTGCTGTCCGCTCGGCCGGCCGGCCCCCATTGTATGTGTGTGTGTATGTGTATGGGTATGTGTATGTGTGTGTGTGTGTGTGTCTGTGTATGGGTATGTGTATGGGTATGTGTATGTGTGTGTGTGTGTGTGTGTGTGTGTGTGTAATCATCTAAGTGTGCGTACAAAATTAAGTTTCAGCTCCTGAGCCCTGGCCTTTATGTCATTGGTTAATGCAGTGATTTTTTGTCAATGTTTCTCTGAAAACTGTTCATTCAATTTGTCCAGCAATCTCTTCTTTCAATCTTTGAAGAAGAGGTCTGTATCCATCTTCTTTTACCATGTGTATGTGCTTTCAGGGCGAGCTTCAGCGCCTGGGCTCTGATTTACAGTCGAAGTTGACTATTATGCCGGTTCTTGATTTTGCCATTTTTTTTTTTTAACAAGATTTGGATGTTGCCTCATTTCAACAGTTGTTCACAGAGGTGCTAGTTCCCTCCTGTTCATGGTGAACATTTCCATGCTGTTCACTTGGTTATTACATCGGAGAATGTCTGTTCACTTGGTCTGGTCTGGTACACCGATGGCCTGTGCAGGCAATGAGTCACAATAACGTGGCTAAAGTATTTTGACCAGACCACACACTAGAAGGTGAAGGGACGACGACGTTCGGTCCGTCCTGGACCATTCTTAAGTCGATTGAGAAAGGTCCAGGACGAACCGAAACGTCGTCGTCCGTTCACTTTCTAGTGTGTGGTCTGGTCAACAACCGATGGCCTCTCTTCTTGCATGGTCGGTGTTCGATACCCGATGGTACAAGTGGTTTGGCACCGTTCCTTCACTCCGTCCTTGTGCTCCAGCTCCTTGTGTTCCAGCTCCTTGTGTTCCAGCTCCTTGTGTTCCAGCTCCTTGTGTTCCAGCTCCTTGTGTTTTGCTCCTTGTGTTCCAGCTCCTTGTGTCCCAGCTCCTTGTGTTCCAGCTCCTTGTGTCCCAGCTCCTTGTGCTCCAGCTCCTTGTGTTCCAGCTCCTTGTGCTCCAGCTCCTTGTGCTCCAGCTCCTTGTGTTCCAGCTCCTTGTATTCCAGCTCGTTGTGCTCCAGCTCCTTGTGTTCCAGCTCCTTGTGTTCCAGCTCCTTGTGTCCCAGCTCCTTGTGTTCCAGCTCCTTGTGTTCCAGCTCCTTGTGTTCCAGCTCCTTGTGCTCCAGCTCCTTGTGTTCCAGCTCCTTGTGTTCCAGCTCCTTGTGCTCCAGCTCCTTGTGCTCCAGCTCCTTGTGTTCCAGCTCCTTGTGTTCCAGCTCCTTGTGTTCCAGCTCCTTGTGTTCCAGCTCCTTGTGTTCCAGCTCCTTGTGTTCCAGCTCCTTGTGTTCCAGCTCCTTGTGTTCCAGTTCCTTGTGTTCCAGCTCCTTGTGTTCCAGCTCCTTGTGTTCCAGCTCCTTGTGTCCCAGCTCCTTGTGTTCCAGCTCCTTGTGTTCCAGCTCCTTGTGTTCCAGCTCCTTGTGCTCCAGCTCCTTGTGCTCCAGCTCCTTGTGTTCCAGCTCCTTGTGCTCCAGCTCCTTGTGCTCCAGCTCCTTGTGTTCCAGCTCCTTGTGTTCCAGCTCCTTGTGCTCCAGCTCCTTGTGCTCCAGCTCCTTGTGCTCCAGCTCCTTGTGTCCCAGCTCCTTGTGCTCCAGCTCCTTGTGTTCCAGCTCCTTGTCCTCATATTCCCTTTAAGTGCTATATGGTCTTACTGGCTTAGCACATTCATGTCAAAGTAACCTTAACTGCCTTGGAAGCTGTTCATATTTTCTACCACACACGTGGCCACAACTCTGACACTGGTAACAAGCATATATATAAACATTTTTTTTCTGTCCTCCACGACTAGTGTTTGAGATCTGTTAAGCGTGTAGTGTAGCGAGTTATTGAGCTCTCAACTACAGGTGATTGTAGTGTTAACAATGCTAACTAACATACATACTTGTCTCTCTTACAATCACTGGGTTAGAGATCTGTTCTCTTGAGAGTGAGTTAAGGCCATTAGACCCTTCGTCGTCTTTCCCCTTATGTCTCTTAATGTCTCGTCTGTTCTTTAAATTTTGTTTTAAACACCTTCCGATAATGGACGTGGACTATGGCTAGCCCTTCACTGAGAGGGATAGTCACACTCGTCCTCTTGACTATCCTAAAGTACATTTCAGAGGCAATCGTAGTTTACACAGGGGGGGGGGTGTCCCTTTCTTAACTTCAAGTGCCTCATTTCTTCTCTGACAATGTACTTCTCGAGTCAGCCTGGACCAGTGTTCATCAAGCACTCACGTAAACACTTGCGAAACCTGTACATCTTTCCTTGATCATGGCGGCTTTGTTTGCATATATTAAACCCGTTATGAGCTCCGAAACACTACCAATGATAACTTTGGGTTGTAAAGTTTTCAAGGTTGTGAAACTGTTTAATAAATGATTACGTTAAGATGTACGGGTTTCGTAAGCATAGTGCCTCATGACAACAAGCCTTCGACACATCAGACAGAAGTGATACAGACAGAGAGCCTACGGTCACCACAACCTTTGGAAGAGTTACGACGGTCACCACAACCTTTGGAAGAGTTACGACGATCACCACAACCTTTGGAAGAGTTACGACGGTCACCACAACCTCTGGAAGAGTTACGACGGTCACCACAACCTCTGGAAGAGTTACGACGGTCACCACAACCTCTGGAAGAGTTACGACGGTCACCACAACCTCTGGAAGAGTTACGACGGTCACCACAACCTCTGGAAGAGTTACGACGGTCACCACAACCTCTGGAAGAGTTACGACGGTCACCACAACCTCTGGAAGAGTTACGACGGTCACCACAACCTCTGGAGGGTTATGCTGGTCACCACAACCTCTGGAGAGGTTATGACAGTCACCACAACAACTTACTAACAAACCAGTAAGTTTATTTTAATCCTGGAATATGTTCAGGACTACAGAGTACTCCCAGTGTATATATATATATACGTTAAGAAGTGGGGTATACCTCTCGGTGTATTCAGTATTATCCTTGTATTATTATGAATATAATTTAGTGGAGATGTATCTGCTCAACAACTGAAATATCTTCATCCAAAAGCCAATCACATATATTTCTTGTTTTTTCTATAAAAAATCTTATCAAATAATTTATTGTCGATAA